CCAATAGTATTATTAGATTCAATTCTTTCATTATCCAATTTTAACAAGTAGGTTGTATTGGGAAGTTTCAGAAATGATACGTCGATGCAGCAGTACTTTTATTTTATTCCTTTTTCAAATTACACTCCACATAAATTGCGTCGCTGTACATTCACGTCTGGTCGTCTCGGTCGCCTCGAACAGACTGAGAGCAGCCCGCTCTCTCATTGTTCCCGGCCTATTTATCTCTATTCCTATTGGTGGCGGCATCATCGTGACGTCACCAACATCATATGACTCGCTAGGGTTCCAAATTTGAAATGTAAGTAGTTTGTGAGTATGGAAGTTTCAGAAATGATACGTCGATACAGCAGTACTTTTATTTAATTCCTTTTTCAAATTACACTCCACATAAATTACGTCACTGTACATTCACGTGTGGTCGTCTCGGTCGCCTCGAACAGACTGAGAGCAGCCCGCTCTCTCCTTGTACCCGGCCTCTTTATCTCTATTCCTATTGGTGGCGGCTTCGTCGTGACGTCACCAACATCACATGACTCGCTAGGGTTCCAAATTTGAAATGTAAGTAGTTTGTGAGTATGGAAGTTTCAGAAATGATACGTCGATGCAGCAGTACTTTTAATTTATTCCTTTTTCAAATTACACTCCACATAAATTTCGTCGCTGTACATTCACGTCCGGTCGTCTCGGTCGCCTCGAACAGACTGAGAGCAGCCCGCTCTCTCCTTGTTCCCGGCCTGTTTATCTCTATTCCTATTGGTGGCGGCATCATCGTGACGTCACCAACATCACATGACTCGCTAGGGTTCCAAATTTGAAATGTAAGTAGTTTGTGAGTATGGAAGTTTCAGAAATGATACGTCGATGCAGCAGTACTTTTATTTTATTCCTTTTTCAAATTACACTCCACATAAATTGCGTCGCTGTACATTCACGTGTGGTCGTCTCGGTCGCCTCAAACAGACTGAGAGCAGCCCGCTCTCTCCTTGTACCCGGCCTCTTTATCTCTATTCCTATTGGTGGCGGCATAATCGTGACGTCATCAACATCACGTGACTCGTTATGGTTACTACTACGTTATGGTTTTAAATTTGAAATGTAAGTAACAAATTAGTGAATTGAGTGTTCTTTATGTATTGAAGCTAACATTTATAAACAGAACTTGTGTTATGGGTACTAGACAGCTGATTTTTTTTTTTTTTTTTTCTCTTTATTTTTTTTTTTGGGATTTTTGTGCACATAATGTGACGATGACAATCCCATCGTACCTATACTAATTAACAAAAATAAACTAAAAAAACTTAATCTAATATGTTACCATCCAGAGCAATAACTTGGCTGCATCGGAAGCTGGTTCTGCCAATATTTCATGGAATACTCCTACGTCTAACCTATTTAACATTAAAGCTTGGATGGTATATTCTCTTTTATATGCGTTACGAACACATTCCATTAAAATATGATGCAGATCTTCTTCTTTTCCACAAGCTTCACAATTAGGGGATATCTTTTTTTTCATTAAATAAGCAAATTTATTTAATGGAATGTGTCCGGAACGCAGTCTATTCGCAATAACAATGTGCTGCCTATTAATCTTTGTGAGTGCGAACCATGGAATACGAGGAGGCTGGCACTGTATCGTTTTATACCATATGCCCTTTGACTTAGATCTTTCATCAAAATATTCTTTCCAGCTTTTATAGCACTTTTTTTTATACTTGCTTAGTATCTCTGAATAGTCTGGTAACACATCAATAATTACTCCTTCAGAGCAGGCTTTTTTGGCCAAAGTATCAGCCTTCTCGTTTCCCTGTAGACCCACATGAGCTGGGAGCCACTGCAATGCCAATGTCACATTTTTAATCCTAAAATTATTAATTTTATCTAAAATTTTGTATGCTGTTGATATTCCTCTATATCCGGAAGCGCATTTTAAAATATGGAATAGGGCACTTTTGCTATCCGTACATATGACAATATTACTTACATTTAAACAGTTCAGACAATATGAAAGTGCCATTGAAATTGCAATGAGTTCCGCCGTCATAATCGAGATATTGTTTTTTATTTTATACATTTCGTATGTGTTTCTATCAGGATCGTAATAGGCAGCACCAAGACCGTTGGTAGATTTTGATCCATCTGTAAAAATATATTGCCAATCACCGTATTTCGTATTTAGTTCTTTCAATACCTCATATTTTAATTGATTAATTTCATAGTCACCTTTTGAACTTTTTATACTATCTACCTCAGTTTTAATTATATTTTTAATATTAAAATTTGTAACCCATGTACTCAGAGTAAACATTTCCAGAGGATCAGATGTCGATATATTCTCTTGTATGGTTTCATTTGAGCAGATTGTCAAAAGAGGTTTTCTCTTTCTATTCCAATATCTATTGTCACATAGTTCACTGAGATTTGAAATTAGTGCAGCCGTTACTTTTGTGGTCCATGACTGAGATTTTAAACAGAATTTATATGCAAGGAACTGTCTTCTGATAAACAAAGGTGGAATACCCAGTTCACATTCCATGACATGTGTTGGTGTGGTTTTAATAAAGCCGCCTATAATCCTTAATGCTTGATTTTGAACAACATCTAATTTGGTCGTATGGCATTTAGCAGCGTTGTCATAGAGTGGGCTCGCATAATCAAACCTACTCCTAATTAATGCTATGTATAATCGTCGTAGATGTACAGGATGCATTCCCCATCCAGATCCCACTAGAACTTTAAGTAAAGTTAAAAATTTTTGTCCCTTTTCCCGGATTTCTTTAATATGCTTTCCCCATCGTAATGACTTATCTAACCATAGACCTAGATATTTAACATTTTGCGCATCCTTTAATGTTTGGTCATTGACAAGTAGTTCTAAAGTTTGTTTCTTATTGCCTCGACTAAAATAGCAGACCTTTGATTTGTTAGCTGACAATTCGAGTCCCAATTCACCTAGTATATTGGCCAATATATTCAAGCAGCTCTGGATGTTTCTTATGCTATCTAAAAAATTATATGCTGTTGCATATAGTACAAAGTCATCTGCATATTGACAGATATAAATTTGTTCCATTCTCTTACAGATTTCTATGGTAGCTATATTAAATAATAAGGGGGATAAAGGGTCTCCTTGAGGGATCCCTTTACTAGTCCATCGTATATGCATTTTACCTTCATCTTCGTCGCTTCTAATCATAAGGTGCCTTTCTTTTAATATTTCCCAGATGTAAGTACACATTTTACGCCCTACTGACAATTCGTCTAGTATATGTACTATTTTTTCTATTAAAATGTTATTATATGCTCCTTCTATATCCAAGAAACAGGCTATTGTTGGTACATTCGTAGAGAATCCAATTTGTATCTGAGTAATCAATCTGGTGAGACAATCCAAACATGATTGAGCTTTTCTAAATCCGGTAGTATTTACAGACATAATTTTGTTTTTCTCCACGAACCATTCAAGACGTTTTACAATCATTAGATGGAAAGTTTTACACAGGCAAGACACTAGTGTGATTGGTCTTAGTTGTTCTTTAGTCGCTTCATTGGATTTTGGAATTGGTATAATGAGCACGTCTCTCCATTGTGAAGGGACGGATCCTGATCGATAAATATGATTGTATATTTTTAGTAAATGTGTCTTAGCTACATCAGGTAGGTTGTAAATCATAGAATATGAGACTTGATCGGTACCTGGAGCCGTATCTTTACTCTTTAAACAATTGAATAATTCTGCAGTTGTAAAGTCAGCGTCGAGATTAGAATTAAAGCCGTTTAATACTGGTGGCGGGGGTGATACCGAATCAGGAGCTAATGTAGCTAGTAGTTTTAACTTTGCTTGTTCTGAAGAGTATGCCTTCTTTTGTTTTAAACCCTTCATCCACCTCATTTTTCGCCACATATCTGCGACTGACGTGGTATCCTGTAAACTATTGCAAAATTTTTGCCAATGCAGAGATTTTGCTCGTCTTATAAGTCGTTGCGCTTCTGAAACTTTCTGTTGCCATATAGATAGGTTTCTAGGTGTAGAATTCCGTCTTAATTGTTTCAGTGCCAATCTGCGTTCAGCTATTGCTTTAGATATTTCTGGGTTCCAGTATGATTTTGGTTCAAATTTATTTGCGGGGTCCATGCTATATTTTTTTATAGGTATCGATTTGTCAGCAGCCTCGTTGATTACTTTTAGTAGAATATCATACATATTTTGTACATTCATACCTACGTCTATATCAACTAACGTGTTATTTATTACATCTTTATATCTTACCCAATCAGCGCATTTAAAATTTCGTTTATTAATTATATTTGTTTTGTCTCTATACTTAAAGTTAATTTTAATAATCAAATGATCGCTTCCTAGGCCTTCATTAGTCACTTTCCAGTTTGAATTTATTGCGATATCTGTAGTACAGAAAGTTATATCGGGAGCTGTTTGCTGAAGGGAGCCATTAACTACTTTTACTCGTGTAGGGTTGCCGTCATTAATTGAAATATATCCATTATCAAGGGAGCTATCGAATAATTGTGTACCTCTTGTATCAGTTTTACATGACCAATTTGAATGGTGCCCATTAAAATCACCAAGTACAATTGAGTTGGTGGAGAAACATGAAAATATGCTATCCCAATCAAACTGAGAAGTACGTACAGAAGGTGGGCAATATATAGATATAATATTTTTAATAAGTTTACAATTCATTATTTTAATGTTAATAAGTTCTATGCCATTATTCGCTATATCTATTGGATTTATCATTGCTTTTATTGATTTATGACATAGCACAGCTACCCCACCGTAAGAATCATCCCTGTCTTTTCTAAAAATATTATACGCCGATATATTAAAGGCCGATTCTGGTTCTAACCAAGTTTCGCTAATCACTGCTATGTGAATTTTTTCCCTATTTAACAATAGATCAAAATCTACCAACTTAGGTCGTATACTTTGTGAATTCCATTGTAAGATATTAATATCACATTTACTATTGGTGTATCTAGCCATTATTAAACATTTTGTATATTTTATTAATGACATCTCCCTCACTGATAACACTCATAACATAACACATTATTTCTTCCACTATGCTCTTAGTACACATTATAATTTTTTCTTCACATGCTTTTTCGGATAAAATTATTTGTTGCATTTTACGCAATATCTTGATAATCATTGGAACTTTATGTTTTCTATTACTTTCCTTATCATCGTCATTGTTATTCGTTCGCGTCTCAGTGACTGTGTCATCTAATTCAACTTCCCTATTAATTGATTTTAGGTTTCTTTTATTTTTCTTCTTTTTAGGTTTATTTCCTGTCTTGTATGTTATATTTGGTGTTCTTTCATCTGTATTGTTGTCCGAGTCATTTGTTTCCTCATTAACTGTAAATTGATCAATATTAAATTCCTTCGTCATGAGTGCATCACGGTATGATCTATTTAAAGTAGAAGATATATTGTCTGGTATCGAATTAACAGTAGTGAGATTTTGTTTCCTTGTTGTTTTAAGTTTTTGTTGGGCATATAAATTGAGAGCTTGTTTGTAGATACAGTTATTTTTGCTCATTAACTTTCTAATTTCCTGTTCCTTTATAAATAGCGGACATCCTTTGTCAAGTGCCATGTGAGAGCCATTGCAGTTTATACATACAAATTGTGTAGTCTCACAGTTATCATGAGATCCTCCACATTTGGGGCATTTTACTTTATTTGTAGGACAAGCTCGTTTTACGTGGCCAAATTTCCAACATCCCGAGCATTGGGAGACTGGGAATGTATATGTTTCCACCTTGAACCGGCAGCCGTATCCATAAATATACGAGGGCAAAGATGGACTTCGGAAACAAAGACGTATTACTTCGCTGTTAACCCATTGACCCTTGTCTGTTAATCGTTTGAGCCTTCTTACAGATATAATTTCTTGTTCGCTTTCAAATAATTTAAGAATTTCGTCTTCTCCTATATCGAGGTCGATGTCTTTAACTACACCATATGTAAAATAAACTTGATTTGACCATTGGCATCTATAATTCAATTCCATAAACTTTTGACAATTTAACAACTTCTCTGCATCTTCTTTATCCTTAAAGGATATAATTAAGCGGTAAGGTCCCTTATACTTAATTCTCAATATATTAGTAATATTTTCAGACTTTAATAACTTTGCCATTCCTATTTGTTTGGGCAGTATATCTTTCGAAGATACAATAATTTCAAAGTTGTCGGTAACATTTTCTTGATTTTTGTTGTTTGACAAACTACGCAGTAATCGTTTTGGTTTTCTAGTAACGGTAATAAATCCATCTTCGTCAGCATCTTTGCTGCCGCTGCTGTCTTCCCTTAACCTTTTTTCCACTTGCCGCTGTATCTCACTATGTACTAACACGGTTTCGTCTACCTGTTCACACTCATTAGTCGCCATATCTTCGCATACGTCACTGTGAACTAACGATTGAATTGAGCTAACGCTCTGTGACCGCACGAAACTATCCATTATCACAAACACAGCTGCACCGATGCATTAGCAACCGGTATACAAAATATGTAAGTAAAATAGATAATAATCAGCGAGCTATGCGCACGTGTGCCTGTCTCAGTCGCCGGCACGGCACTGTAGACAGCTGATATAAATACTTGTTGTTACTGGCTAATGTATGGAACTGTACTTTTTATTCTAAATTTGTATTTGAATATATATATATAACTAGCTGTTTCCGCGACTTCATCCGCCTGTAATTTAACTTTATGTTTCTGAAATAAAGTTAGCCTAAGTTACTCCTTATTACAGCTACCGGCCAAAGTCCCATCAAAATCGGTCCAGCCATTTCAGAGATTAGCCGGAACAGACAGACAGACAGACAATAATTGTAAAAATGTTATTTTGGTGTATGTACCGAGATATTCATATGCAAGTAGTAAAAAATGGTTATTTCAATATTACAAACAGACACTCCAATTTTAATTATATGTATAGATAAGACGGTACAGTGTCCGACTAGTTCCCAGTCTACATAAAAAAAAAGGAATCTCAGCTATAATTTCTTGCGGGAAAATCTTGCCTTCATCCTGTTATTTGGGGTTGGATCGATAGGTAAAATTCTCTGACGTCATACCAGATCCATCGTCATACTCGTTGAATCTGATCTTAAGTGTCAAACTTAAATTATAAGTCATTACATGGTGACGCTATCACCATGTAACGACTTCAATATACGAGCTCAGTGTAAACAAGCGACAAATTGTTTTACAACCTTCAGTCGGTTTGTGTTCAAAACAACTTGATACCTCACCTTATGAATTATATTTTTATTTATTTATTTATTACATTTATTACAGCACACATCTCAACACAATAAAAACGATGCCGACAGCTGCATATAAATTATTATATAATATCTTATATAATCATTTATATGCAGCTAATAAAAACAATTCATTAAATTAGAGATGAAATCATTATATACAAAGAAAAAAAAAAATAAAAGAACAACATAGTAACAAACAAATAATAATAATAAAAAAACCAATAATAATAATAAAGTAAAAAATGCATTTCCTATCCACCACTGCGGAGCATCGCCACCGCGTCACTGTACTGATGTGTGTGTAAGGGGCCCATCTCAGCATTATGCCATGACAAAAGCCACGACGCTGATTTTCAATGGAATTCAAATGTGCATATAATATAATTAATTTAATACAATATCATATATAATAGACTACATACATAGTTTAAAGGGTATGTATACTTAAATAGAATTACTATTGTATATTTGATGTATGTATGTATTTTATTTATATTTATCTATAGCTTTATATATATTGTATGTACTAGCTTTTGCCCCCGGCTTCGCTCGCGTTATCCCCTTAGGGGTGGAATTTGTCAAAATTCTTTCTTAGGGGATGCCTACGTCATAGTAGTGCTTTATACATGCAAAGTCGCAGCCCTATCGGTTTAAAATTCATAAAGTTTCATACAAACTTTCACCCCCTATTTTATCCCTTTGGGGGTAGAATTAATCAAAATCCTTTCTTAGCGGATGCCTACGTCATAACATCTACCTGCATGGCAAATTTTAGCCCGATCCGTCCTGTGGTTTAGGCTGTGCGTTGATAGATCACTACGTCAGTCACCTTTGAGTTATATATATTTAGATGTACGTACAGCTATATCAAGCAAGTTAAAGAAAAATTGGAGTCGTGTCGTATCAACAGCTAAAAGGACTGATAGAAGATCGTGGAAGGTGGCGGGAGCTCAACCGACAAGAGCACAGCTCTTATATTATGATTGAATGAATGTATTTGTATATGTATGTTTATATGTTAAAATTTTCATAAGTATATATACACATATATATATATTAGTGGATGGATATATATTTTAGTTTACGCTGGCGGGGCAGAAGTGAATAATAATATGAACATGAGGTCAGGTCAGTTAGCCCATTGTAACAAATTCTTCAGGAATTTATCACGATGGTTTCCAGAGGAAGTGGAGGTTAATTTGACCATACATTGCTAGCAGTAGAGTTATTAGTTCTCATTACTAACAATCCCCTTCCGATCGAATATATATATATATATTTTTTTATGGATGATAATGGAATGGTGCACTCACCTGCGCTAACGGTTTACGCTGGCGGGGCTCCAGTGGAGGATGATAAGATGAGCTTGAGGTCAGGTCAGTTAGCACATCGTGACAAATTCACCGAGAACTTATCACGATGGTTTCCAGGGGGAACCGTGTGGAGGTCGACCTAACATGGTACATTCCTAGCAATGGAAGTTACTAGTTCCCATTACTAACAATTCCCTTTCCCCTATACAATATATTAGGATGGTTTTTATTCGAGTTCTTGTTTGAATAAAATCTTCTGAAAGAACATAGTTTAACTATTATGTTATCTGTGGTTTAACTCACTAATGCTTACTATCCATTTACGTGAGTATACATCAAGTGTCGCAACAATACCCTGCCACTAGTCGGTGACACTCCTGACACCGACACTGAATCAAATGATAGATCAATTACTGCCGCAGTCACGCGCGGCACGTATTTTTTATTTAGCAAAAAGATAGTCACTACAAATTGCACTTTTGTTGCAGATTAGTTCGGCCGGCGTCACAGTAACAGCGATAAAAGGTAAAGCTATGTTTAATTTATCTATTTCTCAATATTAATCTGTGTGTTTTATACTAGCAACTAGCTTTTGCCCGTGGCTTCGCTCGCGTTAAGAAGTATTATTATTAGGTATAGTTTTTGCGGCTTTAGTACCTTCATACAAATTTTCATCACGTATTTTATCGCCTTAGGGGTGGAATTTATCAAAATCCTTTCTTAGGGGATGCCTACGTCATAGTAGCTTTAAGTATGCAAAGTCTTAGCCCGATCGGTTTGAAATTGTCAAAGTTTCATACAAACTTTCATCGCCTATTTTATCCCCTTGGGAGTAGAATTAATCAAAATCCTTTCTTAGCGGATGCCTACGTCATAACATCTACCTGCATGCCAAATTTCAGCCCGATCCGTCCAGTGGTTTGGGCTGTGCGTTGATAGATCACTATGTCAGTCACCTATGAGTTATATATAAATAATTTGAAAGAATATGTGAAAGAAAGAAATAAATTATTATTATTATTATATATTTAGAAGATATGACAGAGAACTAAAGTCACTGATATAGCTCTTGGAATTTGCACATTTGTCGCAGAACCGATGGTCGCTTGAGTTAACTGAGCTAGTGGAGCCTAGAAGCTACTGGTGACCGTGAATTAACAAACGTAGCGTAGGAAACTTGTTTTGTAGACTGTATTTCAATGAAAACTGAGATAAGGCAGTGAAATTACAAGGTACGGATCCTTGTATCATGGATTCTGCGGAATGGCCACGTTTAAGAGGTATGACGAGCGGCCTTCATGACGTGATGTAGTAGTCTCCAAATATATGGTTGGAATTTTCCACATCATATCAACGCAAATAGTTAAGCTATATCCCATAACTATTTGCTATTTTGTCGAAATTTAGTAGCTCGTAGGCAGCGCGCTGATTTAAAAAAGTAAAACGCTGAGGAAGTGCCAAAATGAACAAAATATAATATGATGATTTTTCTGTTTCCTCGTTAATGTGTTGAAAAACGTTGTACAATATACGTGCATATTTAACACACTTAGCTCTATTACGCCCTCAGCTCGGACTGAAATTTCACCTCATGTGTTTTTATCATAGCGTACTTATTTTTTAACATAGGTGAGCGGGGGCACGTTGTTGCAGGGGTAGGAAGTTACACGCGTTTTTACCGGGATTTTAAACTCTTTGATGGATATAATTTGACTCATTTGTGTTGTTATAACGTCGTGCACTAGATAAAAACTATCAATGACCTGCCAAGCGCAAAGGAGCTAGGTTGTGTGCTTGTGTCTCGATTTCAACCAAGTAAGTAAAAAAATCTTTTACGAAATTTTTGATTCCTGATGTCTATATCTTTTATTTCCTCAAAATTTTTAACCTTGAACGTTCATTACATATCTACCTTGAATTTGCAATATTATTTTATTCTGATATTGATATACATTAATGATGACTTCAATTTATATTATATTGTGAAGTTGAAAGAAATGATACGTCGATGCAGCGGTACTTTATTCAAATTTCTTTTAGGAAATGATACGTTACCTGATTACCTGATATTTATTTCTCTTTCAAATTACACTCCACATAAATTGGTATTACTCAATTCCACGTCTGGTCTTCTCGGTTGGCTTGAATAGAAAAAAGGTCGCTCTTTTCTCCTTCCTCTGTGTGTAATAGTGGTGACAAGACGGTGGCACCATCAATAACTTGTGACATTACAAATTAGTCAAATCATTACTCTAAATGTATATATTAATAATAATAATAATAATAATAATAATTATTATTATTATTGATTTGAAACAATTAGATATACAAAAAACACTTTACATCACCCTTCAAAAAGCTGCCATCTTAAATACTTGTCGTACAGTCCGAAAATTTCTAGAAATCGATGAAAATGATATAACACCAGTCACACCAGGCACACAATAAGTACACACACACTCACGCATACATACACGCGCACACACACATACACACACTCTGCACTTACTTGGTTTCGGCCCGTAAGTGTGGAGAAAACCAGCAATAGCTGAGAAAAAATAAAGAATAACAATAATAATAATAATCTTAGGACAATTCACACAGCGCCATCTAGACCCAAGTTAAGCTAGCTAAAGCTTGTGTTATGGGTCCTAGACAACTGATACAAATACATAGATATATTTTTTTTTTCGTAAATACATACATATTATACATAGAAAATACCCAGACCGATACAAACAATCATACTCATGAATAATAATAATATATTGAAGCTAACAATTAAAGCATGTTACGATATAGCTTTTTTTTTGGACTACTCTAATGCTGTTGGCCGCAGCAGGCCTTAACAGCTTCAACGGACGATAGGGAGCGAG